AAGATATTTCCATAATAATTCTACATAAATATTTTGTGCTGAAAATATTGCTAATGTATCATCATAAATACGATCCATATCTGTGTCATTTGTATATCTATTAATACCACTTGATAAACTTTTAACAATAAGAAGAAGTTTTAGTAGCGTACGATCATTTGTATATGAATGTACTAATTTAATACATTCAATAAGATTAGATGATATAGTACCATTAAATAATATTGTTACGGAATCAGTTAAATCTCGTGATATATCAGAAGAAAGTGTTGCTTCATTAATAGTTAGTGTTACACAAAAATGATTTCTTATTAAACGTATTTTATCGGACATTGATAAATAATCAAATTCAGGTATAAGTTTAAAATATTTCACTAAGCCTTTTTGTCGTTCAGTATAATCATTAAGAAATGTATGTAAAGATGAACGTTTGGAACTAGGAAAAGATGGACATCGTCCATTTTTTGTTGCTATACATGTTCGTTCATATGCACTACAAATATTTGTAAGAAGTGTTTGATCCGATGCAGATAATGCTTGTGGTTGACTTTGTGATAATAGTAATAAAGTTGATGGACGAATCTATAATTATACATAAGATAGATGTTATTTTTAACAGATAAATTTTCATGTCTTGATCTTGAAAGTACTATTGGACAACTAATTAGAGTTAGTTAGACAACAAAATTTTTTACCATTTTCGAGTATAGTTTAGGATATTTCTTGTAGAGTAAGAGTAAACAATTATCAGTATATTTTGTAGAAAAGTCTTAAATTGTGTTGGTACAAAGTAATATAGCAGTTTTGGTAAAATTCGTAATTTTTGTGGACTGGGATCTGAAACTGAGAAGAAATTAAACTTCGGGACTAGATCCTGGCTTTTTTACAACAATATTTAGCATCCTGCGCGTATATCAACAAGTGAAGGATCAAGATTTCAGCTGTTTATTGGCTGCTTTCTGACATCAAAAGTCAATGTACAGTTATTTTTGATATTCACTTTTCAATTTAGGAAACTACGGGCCCACGAAAATGTGAGCTCGGATCTGACAAAAAAGAAAAAAATTTGGGCTCAAACTCAAGCCGGACCTAGCTGAGTCTGGATCCTGATCTGGAAGGACCCGCAATTCTCTATTTGAAACAGGTTAAACTAAACGGTACAAAATGCGATATTATAATAAGCGAAATCTATGCGTTTCCACTGATGAGCTAGTTTCTATGAAAATCGGCATTGGCAAAAAAAATGTTTCTGAGTTATTAAAAAGGTACTTCGCATTTTGAGGTTGATAGATTTCAATCGAAATACGAAATTGACCTAAATCTTATTCTGTACGAACACTATTTTGAATATTTTGAAATAATCTGATGATAGTTGTTTAATCTTACTCCAGAAAGAAATTCGGAACATCTATTCGCAAAGAACGAAAATGTTTGATTCTAATCAGTTATCTTTTAGCGAGCGAAAAACAAGTAAATCTTTAGTGTCAGAACTTTTGCGTCAGCGGTTTATATATAAGCGACCTTAAACTTTGGACTATGGAACGAGGAGATATGTAGGCCTGTATAAAATGACATCCTCTATCTACTAGTACATTCATTATCTGATTTCACCACATACCGTTGATCTGCCAATAGGTTGCGCTATCTTCATTGCACTGTACCATCACTGTAGCGAAGGCAGCATCACCTATCGACATATTAGAAGTACTTCGTAGAATTTGATAATGCACATACTATTAGATAGGCAGAGGCTTTCTGTAGACAAAAATTATCAGAAACCTTATAGTCGCTTTTACCTGTGATATTATCATAATAACAAGGCTACTGAGAGAGTTCAAGAGAGGAATAAAGAATAATCATTTCAAAGAAAAGAAATACGCCCTTTGTAATGTTTTATGTATAGAGTTACAGATATCGGGGGACTAGTTTTAGCTTGAAGACCGTAACGACAATGGAAACAGATGTTTAAATAGGAATTAAAAGTTTTAGTTAAATTTTCTATAGTTTTTAGCGAGTCCTATTAAAAATCATGTCAAGTACAGCAAAATGCAAGAGAAATAGCCGAATAAAACAACACTCGTCAGCTATCTTCATCCAACCAAGAGTACTTAAGATTCTTTTTTTAGATTTAATGCAAATAAATCCTAAAATAATTTTCTCTAAGTCAAGTCTGGAGAAGATTTAACACGATCATGATCGCCACTACTCAAAAACAAGTTAATCAAGTTACGATTAGAAAAAAACGTAGTTTCATTGTGCCATATTCTATTCGATTCTATAAGTCTTAAAACTTATTCTATGAATATTATTTCAATCATAATAAATCTTGTCTTATTTGTATATTAATATCAATATTACCAAGGCTGAATTTTTTTTGGCTAAATATTGACTACGTTTTCGACGATTTTGTTCAATCAGTTGTTTTCTTGCTTCTCGTTCAGCTTCGGATCGAATTAATGATTTTTGCATTCCAACACGAAAACATTTTGCTAGACGACAACAATTACAAAAACGACGAGATTTATACGTTACTGGACAATCACCATCATGTTGACAAATAAAATCACGTCTCTGTAGAAAAAAACGTTTTTTTTTTGACTATAATATATTTATTTGAAAAAACAATAAACTTACACCAAGTTTAACAGCATTTCGACGGAAAAATGCTTTACATGGTGCACATGTTGGAACAGCAAAATTAATGCCAACTGCATCATCATCACATACTACACATTGACCAAGTGATCGAGATGACATTCAGATATTTTTAAAGTATTAAAGAACGTATTTTTTTAATTCTATATGCAAATGTACTTATATTGCGCAAATCTAAAAAGGAAAAATGAATCGTTACATTTTCTTTTTTTTTCTTTGAAAAAGAAATAATCAAGAAAATTTTTTTTTTCGTGAATAGTAGTAACAATCTGTCTGAGTAGTGACTACCCTTAACCAACATTATGTAAAAAGATAAATATAAAAAAAAGAACGATGATATAACATTTGGTCGAGTGCAAAACATGTTGGCAAGTTAAAAGACAAGAACATATAATTATTTTTTGTCTTTAATCAAGAATATAATGTAACAGAGTGTATCCTTGATAAAAATAGAAGAAGAAAAAAACAAGAATTTTATTTAACTTCTTATTTTGACATAGAAAGAAAATACTTTTACTAATGAAAAATCAACTTACAAAATAAAATCAATCTATAAAACTGATTTAATAGATCAAATTTTATTTCAAATATAATACCAATAAAATTTGACTAGAAACATACTAAATTTTGATTATTAACTTTTTTTTATTTTGCTTCTGTATGTTAACACTATTGTTGACGTTGAAAACCGGCTCTTCGGAAGAAAAAACATTGATACTCAAATTGTAATTATTTTTTTTTCTTGAATTAATCATCTTTAGTTTATAGCACTTCGACGGAACGGAAAAGTAGGACAGAAAAAAACTCTCAAGAAGAATGAAGGAATATTTTACAACAAGAGGAAAAAAAAGTGTAAAGATCTATGTCAGAATTATATAAAAAGAAGTACAGAACAAAATATGTTCTTAAACTCAGTTAAAATAAAAGACTTTTTTTATAAAAAAAAAGAAGAAAATTCATCATGGTGTTGCTTTTTAGACAATAAATGTTATCTATTTATGAGCTCAATATTTATGTATTGAGCTTATTATAAAGATTTGTACCTAAGCCTTTAATAGATCTTAACAGTAAAACACAATCGATTTAGTCACCTGTTCGAGTGTTTATAAAGACAAAACAACGATGAAACAGATCCTATAGAAAATCGATAATAGGTCTTTAATAGGATTGTTTTTTCATTAATATAGTAATAACTCTATATTCTTGTCTACAGTATTTGAAACAAATAAACTATATCCCATGAGATACATACTAAATGGAAATATCTTTTTGTATATTTGATAATAATGATGTATATTTGTAATTCAAAAAGTCTATACTATAGGGAACTTGCTCGCAGAAAACTAGTCATTTTGTTACTAGACCATTTATGTCTTTTGTTTTAATTCAAAAATGCTTAGGAAAAGTAATGAATTTTCTTTTTTTGTTTTAAATTATTTAATAAAATAACTAAAGAAATAAATTTCCTTATATATATATATAAATTAAATATGTAATGTATCTATTAGGGCACAGCAACTTTGGATCCAAAAAAAAAATAAGCGTAATTGTTATATCATCATTATGACGTATTTATAATACCTTTTTAAAAAAGGATAAAACAAACAAATGAGTTCTTAAGTGCATGGGAAAGAAGCTCATTACTTATATGAAGTTATTAATATCGCAGTTTTGTAGTAGAATCACGCAAAAGATTGAATCAAGGAAAATGTTGATGACATTTAATTAATGCACATGTTAATGTTATCATAATTAATATTATCATAGGAATTGAAATAAATGTTCGTGATGAACAATGTATTTTTCAATATCTTAAATGAAAAAAAAAACAAAAGTTTTTCATATATATCGCTTCATGAAAAGATCTACTATTTTCTTATGTTTTTATTACAAAAAAGAAAGAGAGAAGAAGAAGAGACGCGGTATGACTGTCGAGAAGATTAAAGATGATAATAAACGACAAACATAGAGCAAGAAAGATGATGTAAATTTAGAGCAAAAGAAAAAAAGAAAACCCATTTACTTTCGTTTAATACACATAGACGACAAAAGGACAATTCAGAGAGAATATGCACATCTCGACTTCATACATACACAATTGACAAAACAAAACATAAAAAATAATTTCACTATGGTAAAGAGACAATAAGCCAAAAAATACTTTTATTTTTTGTGCATTTTTTGTCATTAAGTCGGGAAATAAATGAAAGAAATGATGCGTGTATATAAAAAAAACAAGATGTTATATTGAGAATAGAAAACTTTTCTTTTTTTTTGTTGCTTTAAGTGATTTTCTTCTCTCAATTCATCACCGGTTCTTATTTTTCTTATATAATTCTTCTAAATTAAGGTGTTGTACGTAAAGAACCACTAGTACGATGAATTGATGATGATTTTTGTTGTTGCATCGCTTGTAATTGAGCAAAAGCAATTACATTTGATGACAAGGAAGTGTTAGATAATCCTTGACTTTGTTGTTGTTGCTGTCTTGAAGACATTTGAAAGACATTTAATGTAGCATATTGAAAAGCAGCACGAGCTTGTTGAGTCATATTACTTAATTGACGAATTGCATAGGATATATGATCAAAGGCTAGAAATAAAACAAAAAGAATATTATATAAATCTTTCATCGATTTTCTTTTATTCTAAGTCAAAATAAAAGAAACCTTAGTTTCTTTTTTTTTGTATTCATTGCAATAGTGAATAAGTCAAAAATTCATTATTCATCTATACTTAGACATTAGTATTTATTCACTGATTTAAGAATAAACATATTCGAGATTACTAGACTCAATGATGTACTATATAATAAAGCACAATCTTACAGCAAGGTTTAAGACAAATACATATTCATTCATAAGAATATACATTTACCAAGTGTTTATTCGAGATTCATAGTGCTTGAAAAATTGTTGTGTGTAAGTAACATGAATGATTATGTCACTAATGAAGGAACTACTCAAACCGGTATCCATTTTTTGAGATCATAACGAGTTCACCAGGAAGTCTCAGTAAGATTAAAGAAATCCTAAAAATAGTTCATGCTCATGGGTCTCTTGAGTCGAATTATGATCGTTCTACTGAATTTTTAATTTAACTTCAGATATTTGGGTCTGAAATTTCACATATAAGACACTTCGAATGGCTAGTAGAATATTACTTTATGAATATATTGAATATCCAAAAAATGATCGCTTGCTAAAAAAAAGAAAGAGTTTACTTGAAAACTCAATTATCTTAATAAAGGAATTTTTGATTAGTTATTTGACGTGTTTATGTGCGAAATTTCAAATAGAAAATGTAATAAAACGACCATACTACGGCTTTAGAGACATATAGGCACGAATCCTTTAAGAGTTTTCCTACTCTTCAGAAGATCACCTTGTGAATCCAATATGAGTTCAAATGGTGGATATCAGTTTGTGTAGGCTCGTCGTACGAAAAAGATGTAGAATAGAACTCGTACAAGTTCAATATAGTGTATGCTAATATATTTAGTCTGAGTATGAATTTTACTTAACTAATGAATCATTATTTGAGTTTTAGAGAAAAAAATAAAAGAACAAAATCTATTAATGAAGACTGATTGACTTTCTTGAATATGGTTTGATATTTTAAATACATGAGCAGCATCATTTCTTCAACGATTTATTCTTTAATAAATCTTTATATGCAAAAATTTTTTACCACTCGTATCTCGTAAAAAAGGACGTTTTTTTTATTATAGACTAATCTTTATTAAATCTACTTAACTAAATTGAGTTTATTTTAAGTAACGTTCTTGAACAATATTTATATTAATGAATTTTCGTCGTACAAAAAGAAAATAATTATTCTTTTTCTTTTCATCATACTGCTCATTAAAGATTTTTTGAGTAAAAAAATGTCGTCATATTGTATACGATAGGAAAAAAGTCTATTTCAATCTAACTATCTATTATATACCTTATACTATAATCACATATATATACAATTAATGATAAAAAAAAACAAAATGAATGTTTTCTCTTCGTTACATTAGTGATAAACTAGAATTACTATTGAGAATCCGATATGAAATTATACATTGTGATGGAAAGGGCAAAAAAACGTTTTCAGGAATACTGAACTTGACGTACATAAAAGATCAATTCAACTTGAAAATCATAGTAAATGTAGAACACATAATCAGTAGACATCTATTATACCTGCTTTATGTTTTTTAGATTATTTTTAACTTTATTTATATATCTACTACGAATGCATGAGAATTTATAAAAATACAAAACATAATTTGACATATGTAGGCTAATTGATTACAATAAGAGAATATGGAACTTTGTTTACGTTCGATAGAACAATAGATGAAAATAATTCTAATATGTTGTATAACCAACACCGGATATAATTAGCAAACTTAACTGCAAGTATCATATAGAAAACTAAATTTCATTTGTTTCCTTGGAGTTTTTTCTTACTTAAGAATGACTTGTAATCTAAATTTGTCGGAATAAAATTTTCAAAAAATAATCATATAGAAAACATCGTATTAATATTAAAAACCTATTCTCTAGCAACAGAATATTGAATCTGTCTGAAACAGCTAACGAAGGAAGTTCTATAACTTATTAATTATATTCTATTAGGGAGAGTATGGATCATGTAGAGCTTAATGAACTACGGATACTCTGAAAATAGTTCAAACCATTTGCTTATTGCTGCGAGCATGTTACAGCAACATAATATTTTTTTTTAATTTGCTGTCATCGTCTCTCTTAGAGAAATTTATTTTTCTGAACTTTGTATATAAATGAGCCTTAAGCAGATCTCTCTTTTTGTCATTATGGCAGACGAAGATGTGACTTTCTCGCTTGGAAACGGATTTTTTTCACTCAGAAGTCATTCAATATATCTGAATTGAATCCATTGATTTCGAACATATTATCTTTGTCGATTAAATATTGTTTCAAAGCTAGAAAACTGAAAAACATCGTTTTTGGAAAACCACTGTACAGTTTAGAAATGTTTCCCTTAATAAGGATTATAAATACTAGATAGGAAAACATTCTAGAGATTGGTTGTAGGTGTTTTGCTCATTTTATGAAACTAGCCGTTCGAAGAATACTATAGAAAACCATATTATTTTTCTTTCTCAGACAATGAACGTGCGAATTAAAAATATATTTTTTACAATTATTTAGAACTCGTCTTAAAAATATAGAAAATATACTTGAATTATCTTTCGAACAATTTAACTATTTCAGATATGAATTTTCCAGATGATATCATGATTTTCAATTTCTTAGAAAGTTGTAACAAAATTATTTATATGATTAGATAGACTATATTTCGAAGTATAATTCCTTATATTCTAAGCTTGAAAAATTTATGATTTTCATTTTTAGTCAAATGTTTTCTCTTAATCATCATGATATAAAAAATTCGGATAAATACAGAAAAATTTTGTTTTCTCGAAAGTATTCCTCTCCTTTTCTTCCATATAGTACGTCCGATTATGGTCAAAGTTCTTATGAATACTTTAGCCGAATTGAGGTATGTGTTTTGTTTTTCAAAATTTTCTTTCTATGAAATCTGGCAACCTTTTGAAAAAAATAGTACTATTGAAAAAAATCACGTTTTCTGCCGGTACTTCCGGTATTTTGTTTCGTCTAACGTTTAGGAAGGATATTTTCGCAAGAAACAAAACATATATCTTGATTGGTTCCTAATTGTCATATCTGTTACTTCTAGCCTATGATAGACCTATGGTAAATGTGTAGTTTTTTATATCGATCAAATATATCAGCAGATTCGATATTCTTATTTTAAACTAGGAGCAAATCAAAAAAGACGTGAAACTTTTACAATAAATACTTTTCTTGTTAAGACTTATCTATGTATAAAGTTTCAAGCACGGTATTAAGTTAAAAGAAATCGTATGGCTAAGTACATCTGGTTTATTACTTCAGTTGGAAATGATAAAAAACATGCTCGAATTGTCCTATTCTGAAAACTTTATTAGCATTAATAGGCAGTAAAAACAGAAGGATTTCAGAGTCATTTTTAAATAATTTTTTATTGATAAGAGATAAAAACATGCAGCTTCTATTGTGACCTTTTTTCTAGTCGAGACTTTAATAATAGGGCGAGATGAACGTCGAATTGAAATTAGAACTGATAATTCTATATTATAAAAAGAAAGTAAAAATTAATGATCCTGTAAATGAAAGATCTGAATTCAATGTGTGAAAGAGACGTATTTGTCGGTGTATAATCATATATCATCCCTTGAAATGAATCATGTTTCCTAAAATAATCCACAATGATTAAATCTCAAGCTTTATACAGATAAAGCATGACTTCGAAAAAGGTGCAAAGTAATCAAATTAACAATAAACTTAATTTTTATATCATTCAAAATGAATGAATGGATTATTTTTGATTCATTCTGTATCCTGACAATGAAATGACTTCGCGTAAATTTAATTATATCACGGTCATAAATAGCACTTGCATAATTTATTCTTGTGATTGACTCAATATCGACTCTACCGAATAAATCTCGAATGGTAAAGTTATTATCTACCTGCTTGTAAAACTGTTTCATTCATATAATATGAATGAGGATGTTCAGTACTCAATCTTAATCGTGTTTCTTCTTCTTGATGAACAAGTTCAGCATTAGTTATTGATTCTTTCCATGATTTAAAAGCAAACATTAAATCTCGTAAGCGTAATTCAGGTCGTCCAATAGATAATAATTGATAAATATCACTCGCCTAAACAAAGAAAGAAAAGAAAACAACGATGAATTAACTAATTTTAATAATAATAAATGACTTACAGTAATTTCAATTTTTTTACATTTAAATATAAAATATTCAGGCACAACAAGTATACGTGATGAACAACAATTTGTACCATTTATATTAACTAATGGTGAACTAGGTGATGGAAGTGATGATGAATTTACATTAAGATAATTTTCTACCTAAAAATTAAAATAATAATTCAATGAATGAAACATAATTTGATAAAAATTTCTTATTACAAAGACATAACATCTAATTTTTCTTAGAATTTATAACCGAAATTCTTCTTTTTATTTGTATTAAACATCCTAATATATTGATAACATAAAGAATGCATGTTCCTTTAATAAATATTAAGATTTAAGATGGCTTTCCAAGAAATTGTTGCTGTATTTGAATCGCAATATTTTCATTAACAACTAATGTATTTCTTCTAGAATATGGCGAAAGTTGTTGAGATTGTTCGTACTCAACTCGAACTATTACTGATTCTCCTGATTCCTACTTTTATCTTATCTAGAGTAATCGATTATACATCACCGATATTTTGCAGCAGTTATCAAAATTTTTATTAACTATTCTCAAAATGAAAAACAAAATCTTACCCATCGTTGTTCTTGTATAAGTGCATTAAGTTCATCAAAACCTCGATAACATAGTTCATTTAAATTTTCCATTAATTCATGCATATTAGTTGAAAGATTTCTTGATGGTGATTGTGTTAATATACTTTGTTGTTTTTCAACTAATAGTGATTGCATTTTATGCTTTGAATTAATATTTGATGGAATTGTTGTTTGTTGCCAAGATGGTTCAGGTGTTGATGCAGCTGCCATTGATGCAAGAAAATTAATATTATCATGTACAGCACGTTGTTGGTTATCAATATGTGTCGTCGTTGTATTTTGTGGTGATGAATAGTTGAATATTGATAAAGATTCATCATAGAATAATTTATTAACTGTTGGTATATGTGATTGTTGTTTTTGTTGCTGACTTAATTGAATAAGTGCTTCATCAATTGACGATGATGTTGATGATGATGTTGATGATGATGATTGACGATTTGTTGATGATGTTTTAGTTGTTAGTGATTTTGTTGAAGCGAAATCTATGATAATAGATTTTGATAAATCTTACTGACATATTCATAATTATAAGTTTTTCTTCCTGAATTATAGTTAATTTAAGGAAACTAATATCTGCGCCAAAATTAGACAGATATACGTGTGAACTCAATAACTCAAAAATGGTATCAACTAGTGATTTGTGATTAGAATTCGTCGGATTTGATGGACTTTCGTTGTTGAATACAAAAAAAACTCGAAAACAAGTGTCTTGTATGTTCGAAGTGCAATTTCGATTTCAACTAGAAAATTTCATTGAAAGAATCAAAGTATGGCTCGACCGGACCGGAAAAAAATTTGATAAACCGGGTCCAGATCTGAATATTTTAGACTCAACGAGTTCCATTTACGATTTTCAGCAATTGATAGAGAAAAACTTCGAGCGTCTTTTTTTTGTGTGAGACTGTATAAGACAACATTATTTTAAGACTTATTATCTTCGTAAAACATGTTTTTTTCACCTGTAAATATAATGCGAAAAAAGTGCGCATCTGTTCGATCACACTACCGATTTAAAAAAAAATTTCTGACTCTTTCGTCAAAGGTTTTTTTTTAAATTAAACACTATTGAATGTTTTGCGAAGATAATGAACTCTTTAAATAGCTTTTCCTTAAGTAATATCAAATAAAAGAAAAATCTCGAGTTGTTCTCTTTCTCCTGCTGAAAATCGAAGGTTGCTAGGTGCTGTCGTTGTTGTGTTATTGAGTTCACACTAACTTCTTATTAGTTCTGGCACAGATATGAATTTCACTTAAAAGTTTTATTTTTGGTGATAATGAGAATATGGCAACTATTTATTATACGGTTGAACACCTCACTATAACAACCATAATTGAAGGAAAAAAAAATTTATGAGTTCCGCTATTTTTTATTTTTAGTCTTAATAGAGACTATTTAATGAACTGCAAGAATTACTTCGAAATGAGTTTATTTTTAGTTGAGTTTTTCTCCCAAGATATTGCACTGCAATGCCTAGTTTGATAATTTGTTAGAATATTTATCAGAGATACTTATGAATACGATACTTATTTGTTTAGAATAGTTTAAACATTATCGAAATCTGCTTCAAATTGTAATATGACGATGTTATTAAGGCGGTACTCTAACTCTACCCTTCATGTTTCTTCTCCTTATATACCCTGTGAAGTAGGATAGAGTTAAATGTACATTGTACAACTCTTATTTGTTACTTGTTGAACAGCGCAAGGGTTTGAAGTTTTCTTTTCATCTGAATTCACAGAAGTGCTTAATTTATAAAAAGAAAGCACATTTAAGAGGATCGACAATCAGTAAAAAAAAAATATTTTTAGACTATGTTTATCATTTACTCTACGAGGAAGCATTCAATCTAATTCAAACTTGAGCAAGCTGAATAGATACTAATATTTATTTGGTGTCAAATACCAAGAAAATCCAAACATCATTAATTCTTATTGAATTTCTCGTTTCAGTCGGAAATGAAAAAAAAAATATCAACATATAAAATTAGGATAAATTTTACTGTATATACTGCAATGAGTATAGGTTGCGGCTTTGCGGTAAACGATGTCCATATAAGAATAGTGATGTGAGCAAATTTTCTTAATATTTTAATTCAACTTTCAAGTCTGATGTGTATAACAGACTCGGCGTTACAAAAAAGTAAATATTATAACAAAAGTATGGTTTTATTTGAACTTTAGTCGTATTTGGGATTTCTCTAAGAAAAAGCTTGTTATTTTTTTAGTAGCGTTTCCCGAAAATATCTTTAAATGGATTACATACCACTCATTCCTAACAGCACTACACGGGCTAGCCATGCACGTACAAAATAACGGTGAATCCATTATTAACACTATGCTAGTCTTTGGTCGGTTTTAACTTTTTCGATTCAGGGAAGTCTATTTGAAGAAAATAGCTGAATTATACCAAACATAATTATATCTTGAGAGAAAAGTCTCTCTCGAACAAGAAGATTTTGACAAAACTCCCACAGATTTGAATTTCTGGTTTCCAAAAACTTCAGTCTAATTCTTATAAAACTTAGCTAGTTTGTTTCAAAAATGGCCTTCTAGACAGAAATACTCAAGATCAATCAAAAACCATCATAGTGTTATCATGCGTTCGTGTTTAGACTACTGCGAAACTGTATGGAAGAGCGGCGCATCTCCACCATTACATTCCTAATCTTAAGATTAATCTCTTTATTATTGGATAACCATTCAATAAATAAATTGTTTAGTCTAAAACAAACAACTTCCTACCTTTCTGACCATTACTAAAAAATGAATTTGGTGATGCAAATATATGACTTGATGTATTATCTCCAGATTTCTGTATTATATCAGCATCGATTGATTTTGTTGATATAGGACTTTTTGTATTACTTGTATCAATTGATGAGAAATTTTTAGTTTTTAATGAAAGACTATTGGGTGTATATGGTTCAGCATTTGAATTAATTAAATTAGCTGTTGCTGTTGTTGTAGATGAAGAAGGTGTATTAGTGGAGAAAATCTGACTTGATGATGTTGATGAGTAATGAGGATTGGACATTGGAAAAAACATAGATTGTTCATCGGATGTAAATGATGAATGAGATGATGATGATGAATGAACATTACCGCCAATTGGTTGTTGCTGTTGAGTATCTAAGAAAATAAAAATGATTTTAGGATAGTTAAAAAAAAATGAAAAAAAAAAGAAATAATTTGTTATTTTTATTCTTTACCGACTATGGTCGATTGTAATAACTGACTAAAATTGATTGTATCTGAACAAGAGACTTGTGGTTGAATACCAGCATTACTAATTGATGATATTGTTCTTGAATTATCCGATGATAATGATTTATTAAAACGATAATTTTCAAAACCAGGTGGTGGTCCAATAGATTTTTGTTGTGATGAACAAACAAGATCATTAACTTGTTGTATAAAAACATCATCTAATGTATTATTATTATTATTATTATTTGATAGTTCATTCTCATTATCTATAGTTGTTGTTGATGGTGTTGTTGAGACAATAGATGATACGAATAGAGCGGCAAGATCAGCATCAGATAAATTATAATTATTATTATTAGTAGTAGTAGTAGATTTATTCACTGTTGATAAATCTATTGTATTCATTGTTGGTGTTGATGATGAATAATCAAATAGATTTTGTGTGGACGGATTATTAAGATCAGTTAATAATATGGATGAACTATCAAGTACTAAAATTAAAAAAGAAACTTTTATTAAATTCGACTAAGATGTTGTATGAAACTTCCTGGTTGTTTTTATTCAAGAGTAATGACGGAATCTTTCAAAGATCACTTGAAAGCACGAACAAACAGATTTAATCCACCAACTTATTTTGTAGAGGGTGCTAAAAATTTATTGCACTTGCGAGAAAATTACTTCAACTGAGGCCCACCATTAGTGTCAATGTTGGACCTAGAAACAGGTCTGAATAAGAGTAGTAAAAGTCTAAAGATGTTCGTCACTATGGGCCTTTATCGTCGAGTTATGACTGATTTACGAGTTTTCTGAACTATGTTTAGATACTCCATGGAAGATCACATAACGAAGTTTTAATTCAAAATTTGCCCTATAGATAGATCTAATGATTCTTAGAATATTCTGAAGTTTCAGTCGGAAGGAATGTTACTTCGTTGAGGAATTGAATTTTTCAAGTGAACTCATTTTTCTTGATAAAGATTATTTTTGGAAATTTAATACTTTGACGAACGAACATTCTTTTCGGCTGAAACTTCCAGGATATTCTAAAAACCGTTAGACCTATCTACAGGAGAAATTTCGAATCGAATTTCTGTTATTCGACCTTTCAAGAACTACCTAAACATTGTCCAACAATTTAGTAAGTCTGTCATAAATCGGCTCAAAAAGACTTGCTAGGTTAATTCTCTTTGTTTGCAATCTCAACTAATCTTTGAAAGGTTCCTGCACAGCTCTTGAATGAAAATAGATAGAAACTTGCCGAACATAAAGTTTCGCTTGCTTCTTTTGTCTAGAAGCTTTCGAATTAGTTGTTGTTTATGAAAAAAACCTATTTGCAACAAATTGGCATGTATAGGTTTTATTACAAGTCATCAATCATATATATTTTTAGTACAAGTCAATCGGTTCACTTTATCTTCTCTCAAGTTTTATCACTTTAAGTATTATCGAGTTCGATTTAGATAATTAAAAAAGAAAAAAAAAGAACAATATATCATTTATTAAATTCTATATACGTGTACTAGAAACTAATAAATATTGCTATAAATAAACAACAATCATCAATAAAACTAGATAGACTGTTTTTTAATATATTCTATGAATCTAATCATATTCTTAATATTGTTACATTGTCAATAGAGTTACAAAATATTGTATTTGCAGTTTTTAATATAGTCATTTTAATATAAAACTATAAAAGCCCGAAAAGATGAAACATTGCCGCTAAGAAACATTAAAGTTTACACATCATTTCACATTTTTTTTGTGAAAAAAGTGAAGAATTGTCCTTGTTTGTCAGCCTTAACACATCGGATTGAACTGAAAACTTTTCTATACTTGTACTAGTAAAAATTGAGAGTGCTTACTGTTTTTTTTTGGTTCACAGTATAATATACCATTTTTTTGTCAGGGTTAAGAAAAAATGCTTCAGCTAAAAAAAAGCAGTGATTTTGTCGGGTTCATTCTGAAGATTTAGGTACATTTTTTTACTGGAAGAACAGCAAAAAAAGAAACTAAAAAAGCATAGACAATGCAAATCATATCTGATATCTAGAAAAATTTATCCTTATCAGACGCGTTGTGACTAGCGAATTACGGAGTCACGTTTTTTTGACTTCGATTCCGACGAGGTTACGTTGCAGAGTTCAGTGCAGATCTCTAGCTGTGACTGAGAAAGACGGTATCCGAAAGATTTTTAGTCTAGGATAACTTTTTCTCTAATCATCAGGATTTATTTGCTTTAACGCTTTCGACTTTTCTAATTAACCGTCATCCAAAAATGCCAGAAAGGGTTTTGTAAAGTAAACAATTTATAATCAAAGTACAATCAAATATTTACTGATTCCAAAGAAAAATGGATTCTCTCACGACTGTAATAAAAAAGAGAATTTGATACTTTATATTTTTACATGGAAGTAATGTCTGTAGGCATCAACGAAACATTTTTTTTATTAATGTTTTACTTCAGGCTAAACTAAACCATGACAATCATTCTCAAATTACTACATAAAACAACATATTTAAAAAAGATTAGAAATTTAGATTAAAATAGAAGTTTCTACTGAATAATCTAGAAATGAATGTATATTATAATAAGAATTATTTATATTAATTGTAATTTTATCCAATAAACAAAACCATCATATGATTAATGTCTTGTAACACATCAACCAACAAAGATTTCTAATCCATTCTGTCAACTTTTTTTTATTGATTTTCTTTAGAAAAAAATGAACTTTTGACTTTACGAAAGTATCATCGGTAGACATGCAGAATTTTCTATTAAAATAAAAAATTTCTCCTACTGTCAAAAAATAATAAATCATTTCTTTTAAAATATATATATATATTAAAGACAAACAAGACTACTATGCATTGGAAATACACCTAAATAAATAAAAAAATCTACCTTCATCAATTATCAAATAATACTCATAGTTTTAGTACTTGATCATTCCAGAAACAATTTATTAACTTTGAATCAACACAACATTTTTTTGTCTTAAATATTGTTCACTTAGCATTAGATGTTTCAAATCGTAGTGGAGCTATCGAGAATAAGAGAACAATAGGTCAGATTAAAGATTAATAGGATAACGATATTTTCTAACTTGTCATGTTGCCTTTGACAGTCTTGTCAAAGGTTGATAACAAACAGTTTCTTATATGTATGATTAACAAAAAAAAAAACAAAGGTCACCATAAACAGTGACACAAACACAAGATACACTCTGATCCCCCCCTCAAATTTGGAGAACGTAGCAAAATAAAACAAAACGTAATATAACACATATGATATGTTAAAGGAGACATCTATTGAATGATGAAAATAATTAAACAAACAAGCAGTTAGATTGTTCTCTATTGAGAAATAAATCATACAATCTGTATATGAACTTTCTGGTCTGATTACTATAAAAGAAAAACTTTATTAGCTAACTTTCTATATTAGAACGTTTTCATGCAGACAAGAATTCTTCTCATATTTCTTCTTACGTGCATAGACGCACACAAATAGGAGTCTGCAAGTTTGGCATAATTATGTTCATATTTAATGATAAAAGTTTTATATGTGATTAGAATAAAGAAGATTAAACAAGTAATATTGCATCGATGATGTAGAACATTATTACTCTACTTACCGTTAGAATTAGTATTTGAAGGTAAAGCCATGGTTGAATTTAACTCTCGAATTGGCATAAAATAGTATTGATCTGTTTGATTTACGATGACACTTAAAATAGAAAAAAAATAAATATATATATATATATGTAAAAATGAAATACCTTGATTGTTGTTCTTTGAAAATTGATTGCTCAATTAAATGTTGAGTGTAATTTTTTTCTAAGATCAAATTGACCTCGTTATCACAGTGTGCGTCTTCGTTGAAACTAACATATATATGTTAAAATAATGTTGTTATTGTTGTTTTTTTTTTTCTTTTATTTTTATTGAAATAAAACAAATAAAATTGTACTTACTGTGAAGATTTAGTTTGTGGACGGTGCGTCGTAGATGTTGAATAATAAAAGTTCATTGGGATCAGAAATACGATTTATTAACCGTTCGATTCATATATATGGCTATATTGATAACATTATTTTCTTACTATATCTCGAGTACTAGAAATAAAAAAAAAAAACATTTTTTTTTTTTTCAATAGGATAAATAAAAAACTAAATAAAATAATCAACCTTGAAGAGAATATTTCTTTTTTTCTTTTTTTCTCTTGTTTTTTTTTGTTATTGTTGTTATTAATGTTACTGCTGCTGCTCTCTAGACACTAGTTGAATAAATCAGAAAAAAACATTTGTTTTATGACGATAATTAGACAAACATTGATAGTAGCGACAATTATAGAGGATGAATAAATGAAAATCAATTGGTTTAAAGCAATAAATGGATTCAGCATTAGATTTTCAATAGATGACGTAAAAAAACAGAAAGATTTTTTGGAAGAAAGATTAAATAGATGTTTTTTTTTGAAGTTCCGAGATACTTTTCTTCTCTATATCGTATATTATGAGAAATAAATAAATAGTAGCATGCCTTGTCCATAATAATATACACATATATGATAAATCTATTTTGATTTGAGTTCGAATATTCTTGCAGATAAAATTCAATATCAGCAAAAGAATATTTCGGAAATGAATAACGGATTTGACTGATACTATATTAAAATCTAGATTAATTTTGAGATAGATGCAAAGATAGTTCATGAGAAACTTGCATGGAACGGACGCAACGGCATCATGTGGTTCCAGACATCCTACAAGAACACTGAAGAGACAAATTCACTATTGCAAAACGCGTTCACAGAACTAAAATTCCATCCTATTGAAGAGTTGCAAGACGTGCAAAGCATTTTCATGAAGGAAGAGAAAATATCAATGATGATTGTCGATCTAATTGTCAGGTTTTCAAGCTCACAGATGTAAATATTGAACTAGTACAACAGGCTATTAATAGTAATCCACATTCAACTTATAGACTTCTCTCTCTCACAATATAATGAAACGAAATATCTACATTTGTCTAAAGATAAGAAAAATTTCATCACGTCGGGTGTACTATCAATTTAATGATGAGCAAAAAATAAATATGAGGTAGAATTTGGCAAAATTTCGTAATGGATCATATCAATTTTGTACTATCATTACAAATGATGAGACATGAGTCTATCATAGATAAGTAAGGTGCAAATCAACTAACGAAAGATGATGAATCACCAACGAATATTGTGTATTGAAATAGATTTGAATCAAAAATTTTGTGATTTGTATTCTTTAAATTAAATGATTTTGCTCTTATAAAATCTGTAGATAAAGACAAGACTATAAGTTACAATTATGATATTAAAAATTGCCTGAAGCTGGTTGTCAAAAAAAAATATAGAAAAAAAAAGAAAGTCATCAGGTGTAAAAAAAGTATAAAATTACTTCATAACAAAACTCGATCTCATATTCATCTGAAATGTTTTTAATTATTTAACATAAGAAGGAATTAATATCATGTTGTATCTCGCGTTTTCATCGGATCTTACACCATGGTATTTTTTACTAAATGATTTTATCAAGCGTAATTTAACTGACCAAACAAATAAAAAACCTATTGACTGATACTATCTCTAGGATAATTAAAAATATTTCAGAAGAAAAGTTTGACAAATTGTTAGAAAGAATGAAATTTAGTATAAATATTTTTCAACTTTGAATAAATTAATCAAAAAAATTTCTCTTTATTTTTACTTAATCTTATGAAAACTTTTAATCAACTCTAAGTGTGATGTTTCCTATAAGAATTATCTGAATACATCTCAATATAAATTAGTTTGTCATTGAATTAATAATTTTTTTTTTCCAATAGACTTATTTTTCAAAACATTCTTGTATCATAGACGTTGATATTATAAAACTTCTTAACATCAAATAATTTCTCAGCGAATCATTTTTCTGCGAGAGAATCTATTCATGATACACAGATTTCTATTAGAATATAAGAACTTTTATAAACCTATCTTGTTCTTTGTGATAGAATTTAAGGTCAAACCTGTGATCCCATTTGTAAATCATCAGATTTCAAGTTGTGAAAGTATCTATTTAGTCTCTATTGAGTTTTATAATATTTTTATTATTCTGGTAGGAAAACGGTCTTGTCAGCAGCTATTTTCATTATTAGAACTCTGTTGGAAACCAAATAAAATAGTATTTATATTCAGTATCAGCATGAAAATCTACATGGAACAAAATACATCATTTTCCCACGGATAATGTTTTTCTATTGGCTCTCAGAAATCTTTTTCTGAAATTTCTTCTTAGAGTGTATACTGCTAGATGTAGTTTTTCATGCTGTTTCAAAATATACTATTTACTATCGTTTTCTACTAAGTTTTGATAATGAAAACTGCTCAAGACAAAGTCGTTTTGCTACTGAAATAACAAAAATATTAATCTTGCTCAGCGATAAGAGCTCTGCAGAAATTGAATATGTCAAGAGAAATAAAATATTTAGTCTTATATTCTATTACAAATAAAAAACAAGATAGATTTTCATATAGGAGTAACAATATTTACATTATTAATTTTGAATATCAGTAAATAATACTTTTCTATTCTATTTTTTATCCTGACGTCTAAAAAAAGAATCTTTGAAATCAAAGCTATTATGATAAAAATGTTATGTCAATCAAATATATAAATTATTGAGAAAGAAAATTCATTCGAATTTTGCATTATGTTCATCTCATATAAATAACCATGTATGAATAAAAAACAAAATACAATAAATATTTCAGATTGTTTTATTCAATGCGCTTTCGAAATAACAAGTTTGATCAAGCTGAAGTTTTATAGAATGAACATATCAAAATTTGTAACTTCTGTAATTTAGAATTATTTACGTGAAATAAAACTAATAGATCTGAAAACATCTTATTAAGGTTGTTTTTTTTTTTGATAGTAAACATTTTCTCTCAAAGCGATTAAAATTAATATATAATCTCTAGAGAAAAGTCTTTTTTGTTGTCTTCGTTTATTCTCTAGGTCACTAAGCTTAACATAAAGATATAACATTTTTATTAATAGAACAAATCATTTAATAAATAGACTAATCCATAATTTCTTGATTTGTTTTCAACAAACGACCAGTTGTTTTACTATTTATATTCATCTGAATCGACAAGATGTCTTAAAAAAAACAAGTTATCTATCATAAAAGAATTTGAACATCTCGATTATGATTTCATTCAATAAAGTGGTTTTGAGCTTAACAAAATTCTTTTTTTATATCGTTGTAGATTTTTTAATTATCTATATCTCCATTTTCTTTTGTATAAACATTTGTTTTGTATTTACAACTAATTGATACCAAATCAATTAGAAGAAATTCACTATTGATTATAAATTTTCTAAAAGCATTCAATCAATGTTTATACATATAAAGAAGAAAACTCTGAATGATTCAAAATATGCAATAATGAAAAAATAGAATAAAAAGAATTCTTTGTATGGTTTTTTGAAAACTCAGCAAACGCTTTTTTTTTGCATAATAAATCTGAAAAAAGTGCTACATTGATTTGTTAAAACTATTATCAAAATATACAAGTTTCTTTTTCAATAGATGACTTTTGAAATACCTTGTTTGTCCGAATATGTAAATCAATGCATTTATTCAGACAAAGAGAACTTACCAAAGTATAAAGCTATGTACAAAGATTTATTGACAAAATGAAACTGTTATTTTTTTACACTCGTTTATATTTACGTCAATCTATAATAATAACATATGCTAGGAAAATTCTTAGTTTGCTATTATTTTCTAAATTATAATTGGGAATAGCAGTATAATCTACATAATACTAAAGGATGATACAACAGTTTCGATCCTATTCAATAAACTTGCAAACTTATAATAAACATATAATTTTCTAGACAAAGACTAGAGGTATCATCTAACAGAAAGTAGTACAATGTTATAGTTTTTCAATAAAAGATCTAAATGATTTTTAAGTTTGTCAAAGTGATGTTTCTTTTTTTTTGTTTTTATAAACATCAATAATCAAATTTATTGATGCAAGAACCTTGTTTTTTTGGACAATTGCTTTAATATAAATTATTTTCTCACATTTTTCCATATGTCAATAATTTTTTGTTTGGCGTCATTCAATGAACTAAATCTACATTTAATTAAATCTTGTTCAATGACATTCTAAAAGCTTCATATTGACTGTATATCCATTCATTAAGTTTTAAAGTGAATACAGAAGGCTTTTTAATAAAGCTATAATAATTGTCAGGAAAATAAACTCAAATAGATGTTGGCATATTATCCAACAAATTTCCAAGAGTGAACTTCATAAAAAGATCATTCCCAATGAGAAAAAATTAAACAATATGACAAATATCATTTAACTACAATGATACGTCCTATTAAAAACACTCTTTCAATTTTCACAAAAAAAAAAATGTTTAAAACCAGTATTGTTCTGTCTAAGATGGAGTGATTATTTCTTTGCATACGTGCTTGACGAGATGGATATTACTGTAAATATGAGGTAGTGTTAGTAGACTTAATCGATGAAAATTAGATCGTTACAAGTTTTTCAGATGTATGCCAAGAACACTTCAGTATAGGATAAGCTACTATAACTCTCTTATCCTTGGCTTAAAACTTATTAAATCTTATTGTACATAGATCACAGATCGTGAATATATTGATCATTTTGTTCATTACTTTATATATATATATATATGTCTTCTTCAAATAATAATTCTAATCTTTCTCTACAAAATTATATCTATATTACACGTTTACTAATTTATTGCGAGATGTTGTTGATAATCCAATATAGCATTACTAAAAATAAAATTATAACGTTTAATTCTTTGATGCTTATCAAACTTGTATATTAACTCTAAAAATTAAACATTCATTTGTTTCTTATTGCTTTCTAGTAGACAATGCTTTTCTATACATTCATTGATCAAAGTAAATACCGCTTCTATTGTTAATATAGGCACATTCCTTCATGTTTCATCGAACAGACTATTACTAAGTCTTCTTCTTCTGTTGCTGCTTTTTTCTTCCTTATCTTGTCTTACACTCGACTTGTCTCATCACTAATTACTTAGTTTATTGTTCAAATCAGAATATGATAAATCACAAAAAGAAAAACGAGAAGATCCGAAGAACAATCAATAGTACTTTAGGGATCAATCTGTTCATCATGTGATGTATTTACTTGTCTATCTGCGTGATGTTTTCATTCGAGTCTATTTTTTTTTACTCAGTCAATCTCAATGGAATTACATGACTATTATCTACTAGTTGAATATAGATCAACGATAAATATATTTCGCCGCTGGATACTAATGAATTGAACATAACGGGAATGTTTATATAAGAAAAAAAGAGTCTTGCTAATTGCTCAGCATGTGAGTTTTTTGAATCTTTCTCTCTCTTTCGTTATATATATATATATAAAATGAAAACCAAATTGTTAAATATGTACTTAATTTTGACACATTTTGTTAAGAAGCATTCATTCTTTATCTCTTTCCCATCCAAATATAGACAATAGATGTGTCAACTTTAATGAACTATTGGTTTGTCTTTCAATAGTTTATATTCATTGAAGCACATCGATTCTGTTGTGTTCAAGTGTCAAAAAAGGAAGATCAAACAAGTCAAAGAAAAACAAAAAAGAAAAAAAAAAACAAAAAGAGATAAATACGATTTTGTCACTCAATGGTTCGTGTTTGTACATTATTGTGGATGATACCTAGTTCTTAATGGTGTCATGTTCAATAGCCTTCCGGTCAAAGTGAAATCTACAGATGGTGTCGTGTTGTGTATCCTTTTCTTTCTATAAAAGAGACAATCGATTGTGATAACCACATCCTGCCGACATGGAAAGAAGAACTTGTAGATTCAATAGCGCGATTGATGCGTAACTGACACGAACATGCCAACATAGTCGATAATGATAGCAGAAGAAGAAAAAACAGCGAGTAGTACGTCATCAAACAATACTATTGATTATCGGTTCCAAAATTTTCTATCGTTAGCACATTTGTGTCGAGAACACACCAAGTAATAAATGATGATGGGTCAAAGCAATAAAATCAAAATTATTAGAAATGATGCCGACAGCATTGATACATATGAAGAAGAAAGAGAATGATTATTCGATATTAATTTAACACTTACTTGTAATCATGAGTTAATCATTAAAGATAAAACTGAAAAAAAAAATTCCTGTAGTTAGGACTTTATCAAAGGAACACAGCACATCATTTGTCTAAGATTCAAGCGTTATTCACCCCCCTATAGAGCTAATTCGAGCCTTGTCGAATAATAGTTTGGTATTTGTCATGAACTTTTCGACTCGAAATTAGATAGTCCGTCCGAATATATGAGATACTTTTTTTTAATTTTTGATGATTAGTGTATTCTATACATTTCTCAGAGATCTAGAGTCCAAAATGTTCATACATGAATCGAACGAGCTCTATGTTCTTGTCTTCAATGTTGAACTAAGCCTCTGATTGTAATCAATTGAAACTCGAACGAACTAATATTATCATTTGTAGTTTTTTCTTATTTTATCTTCATGTATATTTTTAAACTCATTGAATATTTAATTTATCATTTTTCGATTGACTTGCCCGCCCATATCGTGTCTCGTTTCTTTTTTTTTTGTCTATATACCGCTAATGAACTCAACCATAACGGTGTCCATATGGTGATGTTTACCTAGGTGATTCAATGAACAAACGTCCTATACGATGACGAAGAAGAAGAAGATGGAGTGTCCTCGGGCGACAAGAAATAGATAGATAGATAGATAAATAGATATATATCCATGTTAGTAGTGATCATCGCTTAACGGTTATATGTGTATATAATGTAGAGAGAGAGAGACTAGAACAGCTTGCATATTTGCGATATTTATCTTTTGAAGAAAAGCTTGAGGCAGAATGTATTACTGCTGTATTTAAGAATGAAGACGAAAAAAAAAAAGAAACAAGGTTTTCGATATAAATGAACAAACACAATATACAACATGCGAAAGCAAAAGAAATACATTGAATGAGAATAGGAAATAAAAAAATAAGACAGATCTTCTTCCTATTTATATTTATATGTATATATCTAGATTATTAAAAGTACGGAGCATAAACTCCAACATGATGTTGTTGATTTGTCATATAAGATGATTTAATTGGTGATGATGATGTTGATGAAGAAGATGTTGATGTACCTGTTGTTCCTATAGATGATAACATTGATGTTGAAAATAATGGATGAAATGCTGCTGCAGCTGCATAAGCAGCTGATGATGATGGTGATGATGATCCACTGTTAACTGCCATAGCTGCTGCAGCTGCATGAGCATGATAACCATTAAATGTTGGTTCATTCTTCATTAAAAGTCCATATGAAAATGAATCTTTATCTTTACTAGTAGATGATTCATTACGTTTTGTATTTGGTTTACGATTACGTGTTTGAATATTTTCTTTTTTTAATGCTATTGGACGATTTATCTGTGAAATCAAAAAATCAAAAATTAGAAAAAAACAAAACAAAAAAAAAGATAAAATTAATGATTAAGTGAGAATCATTCTAATTTTAAGAAAGTAAGAAAAAGAAACTAAAAATTCTTTTCACACATAAGTGTGAGAAATGATTTTACACACTAATTGTATTTTTCTTTTTCGTCTTCTATAATCAACACGTTTATTGCTTTTTTTTGTTTTTGTAAAAAATCTTAAATTGATCTTTGTTATTCTGAAGATATTGTTTTACTTTCTTTTTTTTTGAAATACCTTATGAAGTTTGAAATATAATCCACATGCATTACAAACACTTTCACCACGTCCATTTCGACGCCATAATGTTGTTGTACTCGTATTACAATTCGAACAATAAACGCCTGTTTTCTTAACTGTTGACTATAGCAGAAAAAAAAATAATAGATAAAAATAAATTTGAATTTATAATTTATCTACTCACTAAACGTCGTTTTGGTTTAATCAATGGTCGATTGTGTCCATTCATTTTATGATATAGTCCACATGCATTACATAAATAATTTCCATTACCATCACGTCTCCATAATGGTGTTGCTTTAGCTCCACAATTAACACATTCCCGGCCTTCTGCTAAACAAAATAAAATAAAATTTAATTGATTAGATGATATTCTTTTTATTATTTATATTAAACCTTGACTAGGTTTTTTTTTTGATGTTAAATTTTTCGTTGGTGAATCTGATGATGATTTCATTGTTGACCAAAGTACTGATGAATCTTTAAGAACATGTCCCCAATTATGATGTGATTGTTGATAAATAGATGAATTTGTTATTGGAGATATATTATGATGATGTTGTTGTTGTTGTTGTTGTTGTTTATTTGATGTATCAAGTAATGTATCATGTGGAAGATCTTTTGGTGGTGTTGGAGGATAATATATTTGACCAAATGATGTTGTTGATGAAGGATTTGTTGTTGAAGAAAAATTTGTATGAGCATGTGGAGGTTGAGAATGTGAAGATGATGAATAAGGAAATGTTGATGATGTTTGTGATGGCCAATTACTAACAGAATATTTACTTGATTCAACCCATGAAAGGGATGTAAAAGCTTAAAAATTTTAAAAATTAAAATTAAAAAAAAAAATGTTATCTTCTGATAGTTTGTTTTTAATATAATTTAATTTACGTGCTGTTCCATATGGTCGATAATAGTCTACACTTGTTGAATAACAATCTGTTGGATAATTTGACCATGTATTACGATGATTTGATGATACTTCAAATGCATCCATATTTATATTTATCTAATTAAATAAAGAATGTAATGATAACAAAAAGAAAAAGATTTTATTGAAAAATAGTTGATATCTTGTCTTTGATAGGATCTTTTGTTGAAACTACAAGTTACACGCGTCGACCGGTGGTAGAGATAACAACATTTTTCTTCTTCTTCTCATTTTTTTTTATATGTATGTATGTGTATCACTGTGGAGATAGTATAATTCTTTTTCCTTTTTTTTTCCTATGACTTACTGTTCTTTCTTTTATTTATGGTTTGATGTGCAAGGCAATTTCTGTCTTCTAGTTTCTTGTTCTATGGTAATGTAACGACTAATGAGATAAATTCACTCATGCGAAAGGAAGAAACATCAATTTTCTTTTACCCCTTTTTTTTTTTTTTCGTTATTCTGAAGTTATTTGCAATGGGATTGGTTGATTGATTAAATACTTGATTTTGTCCAATGATAAGAGAGAAGAACGTTATCTGATTGGAAAAAAAAAAGTACAAAGAATAAGAGAAAGAAGAAGACGGAGAAGAAGAAGAAGAAGTAGAAGAAAAAAAATATATCGATAATTATGAGGTTATTTTTAGTCAGTTCATGTCAATGTTTGCGTACAAACAAACTTAATTATTTTGTTTAATCATGAAAAAAAAAAAACAAGCAAGACCAAGAATGTTGATAATTAAAGAAAAGTAAAATATTTTGGACGTATTGATCTGTCGATTAATATCTAGTTGTTAATCAAGTTAAATTATTAAGCGGCATTTTTGTCTAATATATTCAAATGTGTTTGAAGACATGAAAAAAAACCTGATGAATGATGTAACAGTTCGAGTTTTAAATATATTCATACATGCGCTTAGTTTGTCATCTTCTATACCACCTACTAAGCATTTTAGCTTTTTCTTCTAAATGAATATATCGATATTGAACCTATTAATAAATGATGATTATCAGAAAAATATTTCCGATAGATAGATCAAGTCAAAAATGTTTTATTAAAAAGCACAGGAAAAAAAAAGTCCAAAGATTCGCATCATTTTAGTTACATTTGCTTGATGACGTTGATATTTGTTTATCTATATATTCAATCAATCATTGAATTAATCGATAGCATACAAAAAAGAAAAAGGAGTGAAGAGGAGTGTGACATACTATCATACAGGTATGCATATGTATATTCAATGAAATCACTTTCGAAACGATGAATGAGAGAAAGAAAGTCCATTAGATGACAGTTAATCGACAAGCGAACAAACGAGTACAACTGTCAAATCATAAATCCAATGTAATAGAATAAAAACATTATTTAAAAGAATTATCACCTAGACCACAAGCTTTCTTTTTCTTTTTTTTTGTTATTCATTTTCTTTGCATCAAAATGATAATTAGATCATTTGTAAAAAAAGAATCCGAACTTCTTTTGAGAGAAATGAGCCATATATATATATGCCCGAAGGTAGGCGTTACCGATTCTTTAACACAGACACACATCTTTAGTTGATGTGTAAAAGAAAAGAACTAAGGAAATGAATGACAGACAGATGGATGATTATGAGTGTGTTACATACATCGTGATAGATAGACACACTTGCCAGAATAACAACGACAGTTTGTTTCAATTCTATCCTGTTGTTATTGTTATTCTACTTTGACGCGTATAGTAAAAAAAAAAGAAAGAAAACCTAATCCTTTCACAGATTTTTCAATATTCTTAGACTTTCTTTTGAACTACATACATATATATATACATATATGTATAAATTAATCATTAAAACGAGTTCATTTCAATGACAAGATCCTCCCATTTGAAAATGTATGTTTGACATAAAGAGAGATCGATGAGTGTCTCTATGTTTCACTTATAATTATGAATATAAAAAAAAGAGAGACTATATATATATATGTATGTATATATCGATGATAGGATGTCGTCACCAAGTATATATAGGCAGCAGCTGACTAACATTCATCAATGCAATGTTTCTGATACATATCTATGTTCTGTCTTGAAAACAGACTAAATATATGTGTATGACTATGAAATTCATCATGAAGAAGATGCCATTACAAAGATCTAACGAACTATTTATATCGATCGTTCTTTTTTTCATTTCTATTATGATAGTTGAACTAATCGAAAACTCCACCTATCGAAATGATAATTGACCCTTAATAATGATTATGATGAATAAAACAAAATTGTAAAAAAGAAATAGTTAATGATAGACCATGAAGTATAATATTCTTGTCAACAATCAATTATGTATAGATATATATTTTTCTCTTTAGAATATAAAAATAATTGGTTAATAATAAAAGTTACTCTTTCTAATTTATTCGATTGAATCTAATATAAAAAAAAAATTAAACTTAATCATGTTTTTTTTAAATGTTCATCAGTTTATTAATAATCAATTATTTGATTTTACACTTACGAAAAAAAGATAATGAAAGCTATTATAATCAATCGATTTGTATGAAATGAAAATGAATCTAAATAATTTCTTGCGAGGGAACCTTTTCAGCTGTCAAATCACTGCGTTCGAGACAATGTTCATATGATGAGTACTAGTGGGTAATTGAAAAGTCTAGAAAGATTTGGTTTTCCGAATTTTCATTCTTAGGATATAGAAATTTTATCAGGTTTTTCAATAAAAAAGCTGTGGTCACGTGAAAAAATCTACTTTTGATTTTCAATTTCAAACTCTTTTATTTCCTTTTTGAAGATGTAAATACATGAACAAAATTTGCTTTTATAAATGAGAAAATTTCGAATATTAAATATCTGAGGACTGGAAATACTAGAAAACTTACAGTTTGTCCAATGAATTAATCTCATTGAGAATTTAGTTCATGCAAAGTTTGAAATCAAAATTTAAAAGTCGGTTTTTCACATGAACACAGCTTTTTGTTGAAAAATCCAATAAAATTTCAAGATCTCAAGAACGAAAGCTCGAAAAACCAAACCATTCTTGATTTTTCTATCATTCTCTACTCATGTTATACAGCAACTATCTTAGTACACTACTCCTATATATTGAGCAAGACACACGTTAGTTTAGTTTTCATTAAATTCAATAATAAAGTTTGCTTTACTCATTGAGAAGAAGCTATATCTCATTATCCTACATATCACAACAAAAATAATTAGTTAGAAAAAATCGTCACTGCACATCCGAGATGGAATCAGTTTCTGTTGTTTGGAAATAAATCAAATCGATCTCATTTATACTATAAATGTTGTTGGTCTACATTTTTTTCTCGTGTTGTAGGACATAGATACTGTTACTTAGGATGATTATTGTGACCATCAGAAACGACTATAAAACGATGTATTACTGCCTTCAGTTTCATTGTATTAGTCCTAGCCACAGAAATAGCAGAGAGAATTTCACAAAAAAATTTGATCAGATTTTTGTCAAGACTTGGTTCAAATTTTTGCATTTTTGGCATCGGAATCTATACGATCTACATATACAACAAAATCAACATTGATGCTAGTATGATTTTAATACTGATGGCCTTGATTTTGGTATCGCTTTAATATTGATTTTAATAATTGATATGAAAAGAATAGATTCATTAGTGTTTTTCCTTTGCAAGTAATTTCCAATATAGCATTATATATTCACTAGAATCAGATATTTTCTTGAAAAACAACTTATAATTGAGAAATACACTATGGGAAATAAGTGTAAAATAATAAAGACTGCCGGAGGATATATTCCTTTATATACTTCAAGAAGCCTTTATGAATAGAAAGGATTTAAATCAATGGTAATAAGCAAATAGGAGGATTTATTATTCTACATTTATCTCAGTTCATACAAAGTTTTGAAAAATATTTATTCTAGTTGAAATAATCTTTGTTTAAACATGTCACACTTGAAGATTTGCTAAACTACAAAGCATATCACTATTTTGTTTTGAAAACCATTTATCAACAGTCATTACACTACTCAGATTCTTTATAACAGTAGGAGTTTACTTCGAAAAAGAAATAAATATAATAAAGCATACAGAAATACAATCATGATTTTATTCTTGTAATACCAATTTTCGTACAGCGATACTTCAAGATTCATACCAAAGCTAAAACTTTAACCACATCCTATCAATAACAGTACATAAAAGTCAAGTTTTTTGGTACTAGTCCGTATTCAATAGAATCATGTTCTAAAAAATCCTCTTCTAATTCGACAAACAATGTTTTTCTGACATTCGGTCATTTGAAATTTGGAAAATATCCACCATAACTGAAACTGTGACGTCTGATGAAAACAGAGGTTGTCTTGTTCCTAGGCCAATATGATGCTAAGAATCACTGTTTAAGTACTGCATGTCAAATAAAAAATCGAATTTTATTTTTATATCACCACCTATAAGAAAACCAATGGATGTAGGCATGGGCATGATCGAAGCGATGCTTACGATAACCGTAGTACTCACATCTAGAAAGAACAAGACAAAGAAAGGAAGATACACATATCCAAGAAACACGCCTGTAACAACTTTTCCGAAAATTCAATAGGATATTAACGGAAATACAACTGATTTATTATCGTTCTTAGTTCTGTGTGTATTGTTCGAATTCTATCGTGGTTTCAAAATTTGTCAAAATTACAATGGACTTTGGACATTGTCGAAACTCATGTGGCAAAATTTCGGTTTATCTTGCACAGCAAAGACAAGTGTTTTGTAACTAATTCTACCAAGATTCATTTTCAAACACCTTTGTTGATAGTTTGACATAGAAGAAATTAAATTTCTCGAAGGAGCTAATGTCAACAGTTATCAACTTTTACCTTTTATCAAATATTACTTTTGAATGTCATGTGTTTTTTCCTTATCATAAATGCATGTGACTCTTTGTAACCGAGGCTCGTTACTTTTTGATATATATCTGTTTTGTTATTTACTTATGCGAGATACCTATATATATATATCTATCTTTTTGTTTTGTCTTTTCTCATACTGCTGTTGACCGATTTGCGCGTTTTCTATTA